ACCGCCTCGTGGCTGCGCAAGATCGTGGAGAACTCACCCGAGCGACAAGTGGACGTGGTCATGCGGAAACTGCCGGCGACGGAGCTGCCGTCGCCCAGTGTACAGTCTCTGACACTGGCCCTGGGTCAGTCCTGGCTGACCATAACCGGCACACCGGGCGCGTGGCCCGACGCCTGCTCTATGTCAGTCTCAAAACTCCAGCCAGCTGCCGAAAGCAATATAAAAGTGGTCGAACTGGGTTTTGAAATTCATATTAGCATTCACCGATGAACGATTGATAGTCGAGTGCGTACATTCGCAAGTCTTTTGTTTTCTCGGGTGAGCTCGAGCTTGTTTGCGCACCGTGTTTCTTTCGAGAAGCCTCGTGGGCCCAGCAACACACCAACGCAAAACATCGCACTTCCTGACCCGCTCGCTCCTCGGTCCACGAACGTCGTGACCTGCCAGTGGTGTCCAGAGCCAGCCGGCGAGGCTGCGACCTCTTCCAAAGGAGGTCGCGATCTAAACCCCCTCCTCTTCTCTTCCGACAGATCAAGCCACGGAACGCCCGACAGTGGAGAGGCTGCCATCGGACGAGACGCGACGCCAGAGTCATCTGGACATCCGCTGGGCGGGCTTGGAAATGGGCGCCGCCTATCAAATGGCGTTGTTCGACGTCGGCTCCAACATCACCACTGACTTTATCGCGTTCAACGCGTGTACGTGGCAGTGACAGCTCGCGACGGCAGGATGCCTTTTCGCGATGAAACGGACAGCGCTGAGTTCAATCCATTGAAGGAAAGATGGCTTTGTTTTAGCTTATATCTTAGCACTTTGATTATCTATTGGTGTTTGTAGCCGCAGTGATCACTAAAATTGCAACGTCTTACAACAGCTGTTGCGATAGGCCCAGTGGAGGTCTTTCACAGTGTGCGGAATTCTGCCTTGCTTTCCTGGATCTAGAGCCCGATGTGTCACCCCTCGCATGTGCGTTACCTGTGCCTCTATCTGCAGAAGTTTGGCTCGGTCACGGAGCCTGCCACCCAGTACGTACATACCGTGCGCCAATTTGTGTGTGGTGATCACACACTACACTTGTGTAGAGATGACCCCGTTGCATATGACCTGTTTGTTTCTGCAGTTCCAACATGCCTGGAGGACGAGTACCAGCTGAAGGGGCTCTGCTTCTGGCCCTCCGCACAGATGTCGAGCTACTTTCAAGGCAATGCTCAGTGTCAGACTCGCAAGAGCACCATCCCCAGGAGCCAGCCTTATATCGCACCCGTCATCACTGATAAGGTGACATACAAGTCATCCACATGCTTTGAAACATTTTCTAAATGTTCAAAGAGCACCAATACATTGCATGAAGGCCGCATTATAACACGTCATTTTGGAGTTGGGAACCACTGCTGTGAGGTCATCTTCCAACCATGGTAACCATTGACCCCGAACTTCTGGCTGACCGCCGCCGGTGAAACCCATACACATGACTGTGGATGGCACAAAGGTGACATATAAGTGACTAAATCTCAAGGTGACAGTGTTTTAAACCTCTCCGACCTGGTTTCAAAAACTAGTAATGCAGACAACCAGACGTGAACGGGCTCGAGGCAAGGCCTCAGGCAGCTTTAAAGCACGCGATCAATCAGTAAAGCACATCTTCGAAACAGATGTGGCCTGGTCGCCTGCCTCTGCACATTGCCTGCCCTGTTGATCTCGCGCGGTCCCACTGGGCGCCCGCAGCCCGTCTCGACCCGGCCGTTAGTCACAGCCCGTCTCGACCCGGCCGTTAGCCACAGCCCGTCTCGACCCGGCCGCTAGCCACAGCCCGCCTCGACACGGCCTTTAGCCACAGCCCGCCTCGACACGGCCGTTAGCCAGAGCCCGTCTCGACCCGGCCGTTAGCCACAGCCCGCCTCGACACGGCCGTTAGCCACAGCCCGTCTCGATCGGCGTTAGCAACGCCCGTCCGACCCGCCGTAGCCACACCGCTCGATCGCCTTAGCCCAGCCGCCTCGAGGTAGACAGCCCGCCTCGACACGGCCGTAGCCACAGCCCTCTGACCGGCCTTGGACCCGCCTCGACACGCGTAGCCAAGCGCGTCCGACGCTGCGGTCCGCCTCTGTCGCCAGGAGGAGCAGCTGTTCGAGAACATCTCTGTCTGGCTGGACCGCAGCTTCTGGGTGGGTCAGCAAAGGCCGCGGCGTAGCAGCAGTGACGGCGTCGAGGAGCAGCCGGGCTGGGCCCTGAGGGTGCCACGCGCCCTGGGGCCTGCCTACCGGACCGGCTCCGGATCAGCCGAGCCCCCGGTAACCAGCCCGTCCACCGGGGCCGAGGCGGAACTGCTGTCCACGCCGGCTGGTCGGCCGACTCCTCCTCCGGACGTGGAGCTGCTCGTCAGGCGGCGCCCAGCCCTGGGAGACGCCGATGCGGCGGCCAGGCTGCCGCCCTCCCCACCACCGGACGTGGAGCTGCTGGACAAGCGTTTGCCTGCACCGCCTGCCGCGGGAGCTCCGTCTGAGCACGTCCCTCCGTCTGACGCGGAGGCTTCGTTCAAGCTGCCCGTACTGCAGCCCTTCGCTAACGCTGGTCTGGAGACCTGGCACGTGCCGGCGCAGCACCCCGGAGAATCACGGGAAGGACTGCCCGAGGAGGCCTCCGTGAACTGGACACAGCCGGAGGGCGACCAGCAGTGTTTGTTCGTGCAAAGGGGCCTGCCAGGAGTGCAGAGGACGTCCAACTGCGAGATGAACCTTCACGTCATGTGCAGACTCGCCCTGACAGGTCAGCAGCCCAGCGTGCCCGCTGTCCCCCATCCCGGGGTCAACCGTCTTCTGTCTGCCGATCAATGTCCTCTGACTGGACTACTTTTGATGTCCATGGGAACTCAGTTTTCTGCGCACTTACATCTGCTTATGTCCCCCCCGCGCCGCCGTGCTGACACGGCTAGCCCGACGTGACCCGTTGGTTTGCACTCCACAGTGTCAGTACCCGAACTGCGTGCCGAGGACATCCTCGTGACCCCGCGCAGCAGTTGGATCCGCCTCGACTGGCGGCTGCCCGACTCGTGGCATGCCACGTACCAGGTCACCGTGCTTCGCAGACCGGACGGAGCCGAGCGTGGCCGGCCGAAACGCAAGGTCGTCCCTAGCGTCACCTATCCCGGACCGCCCGGTTAGTGCCTGCCACCTGCTGGCCAGACGCGGAGCTAGGTCTGCTGCTGACACTGGCACTGATCGGCAGAAGTATGTACGCCAAGGCTCGTACGCAAAAAGTCAAAAGGTCAAAGTCAAGTTCGCTAGACAAAAGTACGTACGCAGAATCTTATAACCAGGAGAGTCATTTTATATACTTTTGGGGGGTCCGAGCTCCCTAATACCGACTTGAGCCGCCCCCCCCCCCCCCATGACCGTGGGTAAAAAATGAATACTGGACAAAGGAGACGATAGGACAAGCTCGTGAGATGCTGGTATATGCAGGGATTAATATGATGCCCAAATAGCTGATTTTCTCAGGTAAACACAAAATTCGGGGTACCGTGCTTTGTTCTTTAACATTTGATCTTGAAAGTAACTTTTCTATCTGTGACTAAAGCAAACATCATGAGTATCACTTTGATACCCGCTTTTAGCACTTTTTAGTGAACAAACAGGTGTCAAGACACCGCGTTTTGTGAGACCTTGCCCTTTTACTTTAAACCCCATTTTCTAGGTGTGACGAAAGAGGTTATCACAAGCACTATGATGATTATCACTTTGTTGTATTTCTCCGGAAAAATAATAATGGTCAGTATACCACATTCTGTGTCGTATAGTCTCTTTCGATGATCTTGAAATTTGGTTTCAGCGAATGTGATGAACGCAGAGATCACAACCATTAATGCGACATCCTTTTGTTGGATGTTTTGAATATGCAAAGGAATGCCAGGGTATCCAGTGTTTGACCTTTATTGACCTGCAGAGGTCAAACTAAGTGACTAAGTGAAAAGAAGATTGCAGTTTGGTGAATATCTCCATGGGTTTGACCACGGGAGAAATCTGGTGGATATCTGAGCTCGGCGCTAAATTCGAAGACGGATACGATGCTTATTTAACGATCATGAAACTTGCACACCACGCATGAATACACAAGCCTTTTTTCCACGGGAAAATCGCGAACTGCTGCGGTCTGGAGTGCCGGCGTGGTACCTGCCGGCGTGGTACCTGCCTGCCGTTTTGAGCGCACTGGTTTTGCACAGGCGGCCTGAAAATGTGAGCCACGACAAAGACGACGAGCAGCCGTTGGAGGCCGTGGCTGCATCTCGGTAACCAGGGGTCGAAATGACAATAGGCCGACACTTCTTGGTATGGAAATTAATGTGGATCGCGTGTTGTCAGCTGTGTGGCCGCACGTGTCGCGGCCACACAGCTGACAACACGGAATAACAACACAACACAAGCTCGGCCACATGCACAGAAGTAGCAACGAGGGATTTGCCCATTTTTTTCACGGTTTTTCACATTGCATGTCACAGCTTGGCTGCCAGAGATGTTGAAGGCATGACTCCAACTTCAGAGTCTCCATCAACGCACCGTTTGCAATTCGTATAGGGCATCACGGGTTTGTGAGACGCATGGCTACGCCAGTAACGGTTGGGGAATGTCGACAGTTCGCAAAACGGTGTCGAATACAACATGCTGCCGCTGAAGCTGTAGCCGGGATCGTGGCAAAACTTATGTCACCGTATGCGTCGATTCACTGCCTGCATTTTCCACCTATTTATTTGTCAATTTTGTGCACTGTCCCGTCATCAATCAACTTCACCTGAAGGCTGCAATTCACTACATATATGCATTTTATACCTTACATGAGTGCATACAATATGCAATACATGCATGTATTACGTATATGCACTCATATTCATATTCATATTCATATTCATATTCATTTTCGTGTCACCCAAAATGCCACCGGTTGATCACCCAGTCGCCGGCAGCGAGTATTACATAAGACGACGTAGCGCGCGCCCGGCGTATATTGCCGGCGTCTGTCTGCGATCGTTCATTCATTATTTCGTTCATTCATTCATTCAATCGCCGCGGCAAAGACGTCGAACCACGGTTACGATCGAATGCATTACCGGAACTCCCTGTTGAAAGAGAAAAGTGTCAGAGAAGGGAATGAGAAATGTCAGAGCAAGCACACAAATGAAGTACAGAATAGTTGGCCGAGAGTGCTAGAAGAGAACTCCATAAATTCAGTATTTTTCAGGGAAGCTCACTGCTCCTGCACTCCAATTGGCTTGGTGGGGTATGATTAAAGTCACTAAAAAGTCGGATAGTACAGAAATATTGCAGCTGCATTGACCAGTGGCAGTAGCAAACTTAGAGAAATATGGCACTCGCAGTGGTAGCACGTGCGGTTTTCCTGAACTTATGGAATGCGTAGCAGTGCTCCAAAGGCAGTGGAAATCTGGAGAGCAGAATTTAAAAGCTGGACAACCGCTAATTTCGTCTTAGTAACCAAGCAGTGTCCTTATTAGAGGAGAATACCTCGAATGATGCTTCCGGATCTTTTATTTTTCCTACCCTGTGTGCCTCATCAGCTTCGACCGATGACAAGGTGATGCAAAATTGGTAAGCGCTATAACAACGTGCATATCAGGCTCGAATCAATGCTATCCCAATGGGTTCACAACTGCTTACTGAAACAGATAAAAAGTTCTTCAGGTTTTGGAACAGCCACCTCGCAGCGCGCAAAGGCGCATACAAAAGGCAGGGGAGGTGTGCATTGTCACCCACCGATTTACGTCAAGGTTGCAAGCGACTCATCCCGTGACGCTGCAAGAAAAACTGGCCCACAGATGAAGGCTTTTCCCATGACCCACCTACGTCCCCAGCAGTCAGCACATCATACCCGGTTCCCGTCAGGTGGCAAGAGTTCGGGTCGGCCGGGGAATCCAATGAATGGTGTGCATCTGAAACTTAACTGCAGCTGAACTGCATCATCTGCAACTGAAAAATGCATCCCGAAATAATGCAAATACAAATTATCAATGGGAGCTCCGTCGCTTAGCGAAGCAAGTCCACAAGCTCTTGTATTTTACCAAATGCTGAGCTATATCCCTTGCATTAGCTCGAGTGTGCTTATCATTTGGGAAAATATTTTGATCGTGTGTCTAAATGCTCTACTTATCTGCGTGCAAACAACTATTTGGGCATAAGCATGGCTGTAATTGATAAAACCTCTCGCAGAACGCAGCTGTTTCGGCGGAAGCTTTGCAACCATTCAGAGTAGCGTTTGGTGGAAAACAGTATTTGTGGTAGAATGGTGCATTTCCGAAAAATTTCGACGTTGATAACAACATGGTCGTAGATGGTGTCCCCTTACCGCACCTAGATAAAATGAGCCTCTTAATTGTTTCCTCATAATCTTAACCGATGTCATAACCCATGTATATGATGAAACAAGCTCGCTCATAACTAGTGGTACACTTTTTATATGGAAAAGACTTCTCCAGACAGCACAATTTCCATATCCAGTAAATATGCTCCTCAATAGACCACTGTTTGATTCTGATGACACTGATCAAAATTTGACTTTCCTAGGGGATGATTTTCGGGTAAAATAAGGAAAAGCAAGGTCAAACTCCAGATTGGTGTGTCCAAAGTGCCCTAGACTCCTCACGCAACCGCCTTGAACCAAGATACCTGTTGGTAGCAAAAGTTAACTAGTATTCATTTGAGTTCAGTAACCTCGTGTGATCTTTAGAAAGTCATGTTGATCAAAATCTTATAAAGCTGTTTTGATTTTTGGATTGACGCAAAAATACAAAGAAACTTGATGCGTAATTCTTTGCTTGATGCAATGAAAATACCGCTATAATGACGCTGCCATGCATGACGCTTACATACACAATGCTTTCAAGGTGCGCAATGATCAGAAAATGAACACAAAATTGCCGGGCCGTATCCATTTGCGTTATATAACTAGTGCGAACCACGACAGTGGAAGTGATGATGCCACGTGATGGTCATAGACGGAGAGAATACGACAATAGTGGTCGAACCTGGGGAATGAAGGATATTGCACTGCAGTACGTGTACCACAAATCAATGCCAGCTTTCACCTTTCCCATAAAAATGTATGATATCAATGTGTTGCAAGTACGCGCTTATCCAGTCACCTCCTAACCCGGTTTTAAACTCAAGGTATGGCCGGCAGTGGATGTGCTCGGTTAGTAAACGGGGATATTGTCAAACGTTTTTTGAGTCCTAGTAACATCGAATCAATGTGTGTATTAATGTGATCCTGCCTATGTGAGGAAACCTTACTGTGGTAAAAATTGGAAATAGGGTGAAACAGGACCCCGTACAGAAAATCTGTGCAAATAATATGTATTCTCCTGCTAGTAGGTTCTTAGGATAGGGGAGGTTGTTAGGTTGCGAGCAGGTTGTTAGGATGTTAGCTTTGTCCCTCCCGAGGAGCAAGCGTCCCCCGCCCCCGCCCCCCCCCCCCTCGTTGGCGTCGGCCCTGCACACTTAGGTGTTGCATGGACTGGAATACATTTCGAGGACCTTGGTCCCTGTGCAATATTTCTGCTCTCGACCTATGGTCTTGGTCCGGTGTCGAAGCAGGGGGCCAGCTCGGTCCTGGAAAACTATTTCTGCCTGCCCCTGCAAATACTAAGACTGCGTGAATAGAGACACGTATCTTGGATACCCACGGGAATGAGTATTGCCCACGCAATGTAATGTTTGGTTTTCAGAAATCTTACCATTATCTTTATTAGTGTCCTGGAAAACTATTTCTGCCTGCCCCTGCAAATACTAAGACTGCGTGAATAGAGACACGTATCTTGGATACCCACGGGAATGAGTATTGCCCACGCAATGTAATGTTTGGTTTTCAGAAATCTTACCATTATCTTTATTAGTGTCTAACATTATTAACTTATCCACAGTTTCGCTGTTCGAGTAAAACGTACTTACGAGGGCGGCCTGTGGCCTTCCTCGTAATCAATGATCCGAGACTATAAAATATCATAGGTAATGGTCTCTGACCAAGGCGTAGGGACCTCTAAGTAGCACAATAGTCTAATAAGCTACCTGCTCACCGGAAGCCTCTGGTAATCGACAGTCGTTATTGCCACCGCGTACCCATTTTAGCTATGCATCATATTTTAGCGTCATTATTAGCT